TATGTGTGTGTGTGGGTGGGTGTACACATGTGTACACGTGTGTATGGATGTGGGTGTGGGTGAATATCTACTTCCATTCATTTTGATGCAAATGTCTGAATTTATATATATATATATATATATCTGTGTCTGTGCCTGCGTCTGTGTGTCTTTGTCTGTGTATGTGTATGTGTATGTGTGTGAGTGTATTTATGTATGTATATATGTATGTTTAATATATATATATAGATGTGTCTGTGTCTGTGTATGTGTGTATCTATGTTTATATATATATGTATGTTGTATATTTATATATATATATATATATGTATATGTATATATATATATATATATATATATATTTATATATATAAATGTATGTAGAAGTATATAATATTATTTTTTTATTTTCAAGTTTACATTTATGTATATATATACAGAAATTTATATATAGATATATATATGTGTGTGTGTGTGTGTGGATGTGTGTGGGTGTGGGTTTGTGTGGGAGTATGTATGTATGTATGTATATGTATACATATACATATATATGTATATAAATATATATATATATATATATATGCGTTTGTGTGTGTGTGTATCTATCTGTGTGTGTTTGTTTCGTGTGTGTGTGCGTGTCTGTATTTGTGTCTTTTTGTGTCTGTGTCTGTATATATATATATATATATATATGTTTGCATGTATGTATGTACTCATGTATACATGAATGTATGTATTTATATACTTATATATATATATATAAATGTGTGTGTGTGTGTGTGTTAATATGTGTAAATGAATATATATGTATGTGTGTGTGTGTGTCTTTGTGTTTATGCAAGTATGTATATGTACACGTACGCATCTATATATGTGTGTGTGTGTGTGTGTATGAGTATGTGTGTCTGTATGTGTATATATCGCTATATATGTTAATTGTATATACCTATAGATATATAGATATATATATTTATACATGCGTTTGTGTATATGTGTGTCTATCTGTGTGTATTTATTTGTTGTGTGTGTGCGTGTCTGTATTGTGTCTTTTTTTGTCTGCGTCTATATATATATATGTATGTATGTTCGTATGTATATATGTATGTATGTATGCATGTATGCATGTATGTATGTATGTATATACTTATAATATATATATGTGTCTGTGTCTGTGTCTGTGTGTATGTATAAGAATATATATATATATATATGTGTGTGTATGTGTGTGTGTCTTTGTGTTTATGTAAGTATGTATATGTATACGTGCATATATATATATATGTGTGTGTGTCTGTGTCTGTGTCTGTGTCTGTATGTGTATGTATCTCTATATATGCTTATTTTACATACCTATATATATATATATATATATATATATCCATATATATATGTATATATATGTGTGTTCCTGTGTCTGTGTGTTTACATATTTATATATATATATGTATATTTGCTTGTGTAGTGTGTGTGTTTGTGTTTCTGTGTCTATACATATATATGTGTGTGCCTGTGTGTGTAAGTGTTTATATATATATATATATATATGTATATGTATATATATAGATATATATGTATATATATAGATATATATGTATATTTATATACGTATATATAGATATATATATTTATATATTAATACATATATATTAATACATATATATATATATATTATGTTGCTTTATTTTATGTTATGTCGTGTTTTGTTTGGAAGTACACATTGTATTTCCATGTGTAATCGTAAAAGCCTCTGTTGACATATTTATATATATATATATATTTGTCTGTGACATTTTACCTCTTTGTTTGTACAGGTTCGATGTATATGTATATATATATATATATATATGTATATGTATATATATATATATATATATGTATATATATTTATATATATATATATATATGTATGTATATATATATATATATATATATATGTATGTATATATATATATATATATATCCATGCATGTACTTCATATTGTTTTTGTATGGTGAATACTTCTATATTGCCGTCGGTTAAATATGTGTTGTATCTGTTATGGTGTATATTTTTGTTTTGAGCGCGTGTTTTATATGTGTATGCAAGCGCATAAAGTATTGACAAACTGTTTGCCTTACTTCTATAAGTTTCTTTTTCCCTGTAGAATCTGTTTTGCAATTGAAATTTTTAGCATATTTTGTATTTTTATCGACAATTTTGAAATGTGCAAATTTGCTCTATTTTTCTTTCCTCTTTGCAGAAGTGTGAGAACAATATGTTGAGGGATCTTTCAGTGTGTTAAGAATTTTGTTCATGTATCGTGGTGTGTGCGTGTTTGCGTAGTCATACTTGTTTTTGTGTATTACTTATTGGCTTATATCAAATTATACTTGTCTAACTACTCGTTTACTTATCTGCAAACTGTAAGCCTGTGTATTGCCATGGAATGCTTTTTATTATATCGCCCGGCGAATGCCATGCATATACGGGGAGTATTTTTGTTTTAGTAGAATGTTCATGTATATGTATCATTCGAAGAGAGGTTGAATGAGTTATATTCACGTAATCGCAACGCGTAAAAGTTTATCTGCGCAACCGATGTTGTTTGTATAATACGATGGTTATGTGTCTCTGTTTGTGCTTGTTTAGGATTTACGCCTGTGTGCTACGTAGTTTTTTATTGACATATGTATCTTGAGCAGTCGAATATGTGATACAAAACCCACTGAATGTAATGAATAGCTGCATCTTAAGTACAATTAGTTCCGTATGCTGTTTCATTGCTTGTCATAATAGCTCACATTGCCCTCCATGGACAATTCAACTACAGACCCAGTTTCAATAGGTATTAATATTGGCGCCGGTTCCGATCCAGAGGAACCTCCACCTCCACCGCTTTTAGTGCGCAGAATCAATGAAGCCTTCCTCAAATATCCACAAGAGAGTGTTGTTTGGGGCGTGTGTGGTGAAATAATCACAATTTATAGTTCATATAGCCTGCTAAATGCCTGTGGAGTAGTCGTGCCAACAGAATTTGCAATGGCCTTCGTACTGAGCCGACCTTTCCGGCGGTTGAGGTTACCGTTGGAGCTCCTGGTCGCGAAAGGCATCGCAACAGCGTTTCCAGCTGTAGCGCAGGTATTTTATGGACTGAATTTATTGTGCGATGTTTAGAGCTGATGTGGTGTTGCTTAAAGTATGTGTAATTTTTGCGTGTTGTGGCGAACACACTTTCAATGTTTCTGATCGTCATTAACGAGTGTATCTCTTCTGGTTTTATTTGTGTCATACTTTATTTAATCTCAAGCTTATTCTCACCGTTTTGACATCAGATCAAAATATCACTTTTATACAGATCAGCCATGCCAGCTTCTCGTGACGAATCAGGTGCAGATGACGCAAAGAAGGGTAGCACTGCAACGGGTAGTACACTAGCTTCAGACGAGAGAGATCATCCACAGCCGCCACCATCGACAAGTACGCTGTTCGGGGCCGCTCGAAGGGCGGGAACGAGGCTGGTAGAAACGATTGATAAATGTGAGTGTTAATGCCTCCCATACCGCTCGATTTGACCTTTCGTCTCCTGTGCGTTGCGTGACTCCACTATGTATGGCATTGAAATACATTTTTTTTGCACCCCTAGTAAGTCGTTTTGCCTTCCCATCACTGCAGACGGTGCTGCTTATATGGTAGGCTCTAGGCTGGTAGGCACCACTATTGTCTTCGGGATATATGGTAGTTTACATTTGGGGCTGGATGTGGAGTCGATACTTCATGCTCTCGGACTCGCAGGTGAGTTGAGAATACATCTACATGTTGGCTTCAACAAGTCGTGTATCTTCACCGATCAGCATCGTAACTTGTATTGCCAATTTGATATCATTTATGAGTGAATGTTTTGGATCGATTGTATGCCTCTCCATGTTCAAAGAATCGTATTTTTGTTGCAGCAGTATCGTGAACGGAATTCTAGATTCCTGCATTTAACTATTCAGTCATCGATTTCTACTTATTTTGTTTGTAGACGTGGAAACGGTCGGAACAGTATTGGGCACCTGGGCTGCGGCCGTCGTGATGTCATCCGCATTTTTACCCGTAACTATGAGTTGTACAGCTATCACAGCACCCGCTATGGCGAAAATGAGAAAGTCATGGTTCACGTAGTATGCCAGGGGCTATATCCTATGGGCACTCGGAATTGTAGAAGGGGTGCGCTTCACCACTATTTCCCGTCTTGTAGGCTACCCCGGTCCCCAGGGTCTAAGAAGACATCCCTCCTCGAAGTCACTATTTTAGAAGATATGCCATCATTGGTAAGATCTTACTCACACAGACAACTTAGATCACTCCAGCGTTGTAGTATGCATTGAACATTTATGAGGATAGGGTTATAAGACGACGACTCTCGGCCCCCGAACTATGATAGATCTTTTTTACTAGGAGAAAATTACGAATTTTGCCAAAATTAAAACTTTCTTTAGGCCGTAGACCAGATAAATGGGGTGCCCTTACGGGGTTTACTTTGCACTGACCGTCAACTAGCTATCATAATATGAAAATTCTTGAAATACACACATATTTTTGTTTTTTTAGAAAATCGCGAGATAATTTTTTCTTTTTTTTAAAGTTTTCTAAATCTAACAAATATAGGGGTTTGGCAGATGAGAAGTCTATCCATTTCTATGAAAGTCGCATTTTTATATATTATGTATAGGTCGTTTGCTGATCCTTGTTCTCATTTAAATTGAACAACTTCTGAGAGAAGTGGTCTTGCGAGGATAGATTTAACCACTTCTCCGGGCACACGAAAAGCTGGATATGGCTATGCGAAGAAATAAAATATCAGTTTAAATTCATGAACTATACTTGTATGGTGGACAAGGGCATCTTAAACGACTAGTGAGAGAGTTCACCCAAACAATACTCTATAAATAGACTAGATAAACCACTTACAGTTAATTGTCTATTAAGTCGTCCATTTTTTTCTTCTTTTCTTTCTATTAGTTAGCTGTTCATTTTTAACCATTGGGCCTCGATGTTCATGGCGACCGCGACTAAGACTGCAGTACTAGAGTGACAGGCACGCTACTATATGTAAAAAATGGTGAGCCACTACTCGCCGTGTCTGTCTACCAACGGGGATAGCCTCGCAATAATCAGTTTGGGGTGGTGATGGAAACGTTGTTCTAAATTGGAAATTCTAAATTGGAAAATCAAATATGTATATAGCACCTGCGCACCCCTTGGTATTATGGTTAAGTTGGTAAGACAAAATAAGACAAAAGGGTAGAATGCCACATGTTTGGACCTCAGCCTAGACATACACATTGATACACACGCCCGTACTAAAGAAGTTAGAATATTACATCTTCTAAAAACATTTCATAATGCTATTGAATACTCAGAATATTGCCCTGGGGGAGTATTCCGCTTAGCGGTCAGTTTAATGTTGCTTGGTAATAACAACAAAATGCCTCGCTGCAGGGTCAATGTTGTTCTCTATATTATACTAAACTAAGATGTTCTAATTTATACCGTTGTGTACCACTTATTATACTACTTATGCTATATTCCCGATGGCTCGCTGAAATAGCATAGATATGTGTAACACTCCACCCAGAAGCGGCACTTTCACTGTATCGCCATCTTATATATTAAATCCCAGGCCTTAAATTACACACCCAGCCAAAAGAGCCAGTTCATAGTTGTTGTCTACTACCATTACTATGAGTAAGTTATACTATTCATGTTTATACATCAACCTTAGCAGCGCTAATATCACCCTTAACCCGATAATAAGTATCATTTTACACTGTATATTTATCAGCGGTTGTAGCTCTACTGGACTAAAAGGTGTGGAGGGTACAAAATACAAATTTATTACTACATGGGGACAGGAAATTAAGTCCGTGTAGCATTACGAAGCATGTTTTTTGGTACAAGGCTATGAGTGCTTTCTCGCGTGTATGTGTGCTATGAAGAAGTTGAGTCAAGTGCTACTTCCCAATAGTCCTAATTGGTGTACGGAGATACATAATGGGTATAATGGACATCCCAGTTGTGCAGTACACAGTAGGTGTGATGTCTTTATGAGGAATTTTGTTTCGTCTTACCCTTCGGCAGTTGAGTAGACGGCAAGTATCAAGGGTAAATGAAGTGTCCTACAGAGCTTACTTTAAAATGTGTTGATGCCAAAATCGGCAAAAGAGCACTGGTTCCCAATATTTATACTGGGGTATGTCACTTTATTATTTATTTAAGATGATTAAAAAAGCATGCCCTCAGCTGAAATATTTGGGCAAACAGACTCGTTCGTCGAGCTGGTCGTGTTTATATAACACAATATAGTACACTAGTACTGTTTTATTTCATATCCTTCTCGTTGTCAACACAACAAAGTAAACTCAAAGTGTAAAGTGCTACCATATCACAAAAACATATCCAACCATTCATATCTCGAGTGGCCCAATAACAGCAAGTCCAACCCAATCAGCGCCTACTTCAACAACTCTGAATCAGGCACGTTGTGTTTCAACCGATCTGATTTAATGTATTGTACGTCCTACGGGGTCATATTCTAGCAATCCACCTCTAGTACGCAAACCAATTTGTAGCCGTCCTACGAGACAACGTGAGAACTGCGGAAGCTCCGACTTTGTAGAAGAGGTCAGCTTTTCAAAGAGACTGACTACACACCCTTACACCGTTAAAAATTTCTACAGAGGAGAAAGGAAACCCGTCCAGGACGAATTCGTAAATATTAAGAAATGGTACAATTTCTCCACAAGGAAACCCGTCCAGGACGAGTTCGTAAGTATTACATAACAGCTCAAGCAAATTCAACAAAGTGTCTACATAGACAAATGTTAAGCAACACTCGTTGGACTCGTCGTAAACCCAATATGCGACTTCAGAACATATTAATAAAATGTGTCAGCAAATGCCAGGTAACTTTGCTGTCCTACTTGGACACCAAACTTGCAACTCAACCATTTCGATACACTGTTGCAGAAACTATGCGACAATCGAATAAGAGAAACTCCACAACTCGACCAAAAGTAGTCCTTACAAGAATAGAAACCAAAATAAGGAGAAGGCTACCCGGGAAAAACAGCCCTCTGTGAAAAAGAAGCAAAGAGAAAACTCCGACAGTTTAATCTATCCACGGACTGAGAACGTCACTCCCACCAAAATGTGTAGCCATTACTGAATCAATTGCCAATACACAACACAAAGACGTCGTATTCTTATGCGTTCGCGCCTGACTCAAGGAGAAGATTCTAAAAGCATGAACTAACCACGGACTGACGATGTCATTCCCACAAAGACGCTTTATTCCTACGCGTTCGTACCCGACTCAAATCATGGCGGTCGATGAGGGCAAGGCACAAGATGTGCAATACGATACGGTATGGCGTTCGACCGTACTGAAGAAACCCTATCAAAGCCGTTGGATCTCGGTACAGGTGGTGACGCCGGAGATGGAAGCTGTAAAACTTCTGACATTAGAAAATGAAGGAGTGATAAGGAAATGTATCGAGGCGAAATCTACCTGACCATCAAGGCATTCATAAGTTGATGGTGCCGGAATCGGATGGGATCCGGGTAAAACTGATTTTAGTTCCAAAGGTGATAAACGAGAAGGCAATCAAAAACAAGTTGCGTGTGGAAGGTTTGGACAGAGTGTCGCAGATAGCATACACATCAAACAGGCTATATGACAATGTCGGCGGATTATTGGAATGGCTTTCACGCCCTAGGAATGACATAGTTTTGAATTTGGCAATTGCGGAATCGCAAGGGGCAGCTAAAGTTCATTCTTGCCTTTTCTTTGGGTGCAACCTTCTCTCGAGAATACTTTTACCTACTTATGGACACCGTGTGCCGAGCCTGTGCTCGAAGGGGAGACAATTACTTATTTATGCCGACGATCTTCTTCTATTCGCAACCTTAATCCTTATACAAACTCACCGCGACCTCATCAATCATCTCGACAATACTTTGGTTTGGTACGAGCGGGCGGGAAAAGGGTATGGAAGATATCAGTTCAGTGTCTAGATCACTCGGGGGGGAATTATATCTCTGTTGAAGAACAGGATTCGAGTGACGGACTCATTTAGCCAGAAATTAGTTCAGACGACGGCGTCGTTGGGCAGCTTTGCAATGCCCAATATCCGTCCATTGCTGGCGGAAGCCAGCAGAGTGTCAAGAACACTTATCCGACTATCGGGTGCGGTATTCAAGAAAGTGGAAAAAGTGAACACTTTGCTGTCAATATTCGACATCCGTGCGATATTGCTTCAGAAATCGAACGTATAACTAACCGGGGATGCATCAAAGATGGGATACGGCGCAACCCTCTATATTTAGATACAGACTTACGCTATCACTCTTCGATGGAATCAGCGGGAGATAAAGTGGCCAATTGCCGTCGTGAAACTACAAACGGACTAATGGGAATAGTATTTTGAACTGAAGAAGCTAATCCAACAACAAACTACACTGCTAGTAATGACAGGCACCTCGACAGGCATGCACTGTCTCATAAAACGGCGAAGGCCTCCAGCTTGATGAACTCACAAGTAGCAAATAGGAACCAGATTATCAAAAGCCAAACCAAACCCCAAACCCGCAAAATAATCAAATACTGAGTTTTGGTCCCGGATCTAAATATTTCTGATATTAGAATCATCAGAAATGTTAGCGGCAAACTGGTAAGCTAAACCGGGACCCCGCGTGTAAGAGAAACACTCAAGTGGAAACCTGAGTCTAGTGAGTTAGAAAACACAAATAGAGGCGCAGTTCGGCTCTCTCAGACTGGGGATTCTTCCCAGCCGAGATAACCATATCCTTTGGTCGTATCTTTCAGCTACACCATACTCTATATATTTTACAATATCATGACTAGATAGGTCAAATAGAAACAGAGTCCACCTATAGTACAAAACAATAAGTGAGGAGAAGAAAAAAGTCACCTAGAACAAATCACCTTATTTCGCTTTATTACGAAAATAAGTAAGAAGAAACAGCAAAGAGGTTGGGGCGAGCCAACGACTAGGAGGCTATCAAGAAGCTAAGGAACGACACCTAGCTGACGGAAGATACAAAAACGAAGAAGGGAACAAGAACCGAACAAAAAGCTGCTCCACGTTCTTCACTGCCACTGGAGAAGAATAAGGTAATTTTGGGAGGTTTCAGGAGTGTCTCACAACCTGTAAGAGAGAACAACCAAAAAGTGTCAAGGTGATAAGATTATCAATGTTGGGGTTCATGTAAAGTGTGAAAATTGTGTATAAGTGTCGGTGAATTTTCGAACAAGACAATTCAGTAGGTTAGAGCACTTCCCACAATATACTGGGAGAAACCTCATAGCAGCAGTCACTAGCCCTAACATTAATATATCGATAGATTACCCAAATAATAACCTAGCCAACAAAGGTGAGGGTAACAAGCAAGGTCAGATGGACAAAATAGTAACTCACAAGTAGGACCCTTTGAAGGTTGGGAGGACAAACCTCCTAACAGAAACACAAAAACACTAGATGTCATCAAATTGAACTTGCAAGACATCTATACATTTTATTGTCCAAGCAAGAATTTAAAGCACCATAAGAAGGTCAAGGGATTATAGCTAAACAAAACAATAAAGCTAATAGTGTTGCTCAGCCTCATGGGTACAAACTAATTAGTCGATAAATAAATCACGAGTAGAATCACCATCAATGACATTATCAACCAATCTTATAATGACTAGTGTAAGATTGAGGACGGTGAACAATAGGGTTGAGTAAGGGAGTGTACAGTAAAAATAGAAGCATTAACAAGTCACAGGTACACGAAACACTCAGTCACATGCTTGTCTTTAGGGGAAATCAACTCTGTTGACATTTATCGCCACAATCCTATGACAATCAGTAAAAGGTGTCTACCACAAACGGTAGGATTGAGCAAGGGTGCCGTAATGCGAAACTATAAGGAGAAGGGTGTCACAATATAACACAAAATACTCATAGGTTTCAGACGAGAACAACTCAACCCTAAAGGGGTATTCAGAAGAAATCATCTCAATTGGCATTGCACACACACAATCTTATAACTAGTATACGAGTAGCCACCACGAACAGTGGGAGGAAGCTAGGGTGTCTCGCAAGAAACGATAAAGTACGCAAAGCACTTGAGAATTTTTTGGAAAAGAGAAGGGGAAATACTTAGCAAGGTCACACAAGTATATCATGACATTAGATCACAAGTGGATCAACACAAGAGTTATAACATTGAATTATAAGAATAGTTCAAGACACACATGAATAAAGTTTGGGGATAGTCCAATCCACAATTATCTACAACCAAAACAACAACAGCGTGATTGAGTACACTGAGTACTAAAACAATGAAGAAAGGTAGAATGTGGCATCTAAATCACTAAAACTCTTACTAGTACATGTCACACTCCGTGGCATCTACAAGAAAGTCAGTGAACAAGAATAAGGCAAGCAAGGCCACCACACAAGATTGAAAGAAGGTATCAAACATAGAACATACATTCACACACGAACAATCTGTAAAAAAAAATACATCTACATCCCACCATATAAACAAAAAAGACGTACACACAGAACATTACGAACGAGTATCCAGCGCATGAACGTAGACATATGGGGGGAAACCGACAACTATACAGTCTGGTACAGGAACAAACATCGGACAATAAATCAGTTCGGTACGAAGACACAATACAGTAGAGGTCTAGTTGGTATAAGTTCGCACAACACAATTCAGTACCGGACCGAACATCGTACAGGTGATCATACATAAGAAAAAATAAAACTTGTAGACACCACACGTGTCAAATCAATACTAAAATCTCATTTGAGAATAGGTTGAGATATCACATATGACATATTAAGATTAATATCACATATGAGAAAATAAGTCTAGAATCACACGTGACGAAACAAGTTCGACAAACAAAACAACAAATTAACCTTCCCAATTACAGGAGGGAACGCAACAAGCTACCCCACAATACGAAACGGGAAACACTTCAAGCGGAAGCGCATCAAAGCGTGTTAACAATCAAGGTAAGTATGATACATCTAATTTTTATTATTTTTACATAAGCTACCAGCAAAGACAAGGGAGGCGATGCGCTTATTCGGAACGAATATAGCACTAGTCTTTACTAATAACCTGCAACACATACACCAACACAGACAGCTCAAGATGCCAACAGCAACCAAATCAGGAGCGTATGATAGAGATGGGGATGACGGCTAATGCGAATGGTGTGAATAACAGCCCAACAGGAGAGCCAACCCCGGGTAGTAGCTCGAGTCTACATACACCTAATGGGGTAACAATACAGGCATCAGCAATACGCCTAGAAATAGACAAGAGTACTTGTCAAGGCAATTGCTTCCTGGTCAGTTGGTTCATCTCCAAGCTAGAAGCAACAACACCTGTAGCTATCGGTAGCCTACATAGGATGAGAGTAGGCATTTATGATCAGCAACTTGAGCGTCGCATGCCTCTAGTAGACACAGAGCTACGAGAGAGGTGCGATCAAGCCACCAATGAGTGTGGTGGCGACGAGGGTTGTGAAGAAACCCAAATTAGTCAATACATTAGCGAGCTAGAAATCATGCGTTCACGCTTAGTTGATAAGGCAAATGAAACAGTCGTATTTAAATTGCTAACGACCTCGGAATTTCTAAAGTTATCCATAGATAGCTCCTTCAAAATGGAAAATTGCGATATTATACAGTTTACCACACAATGCAGAGACATGTTCTTGGCTAAGTCCATGCAACTATGTCAGTATCCAGCACTAGTGAGATATGTATTAGATTCTGCTGATGCAACTGAAAAAACGAAGGTGGTTCTCAATGAGATATTGGATTCAAAGACGCAGATCACAAAACACTACACTGATCCAGAGCAATTCAATAGAGTCATAATTGATCTCAGACATATCTCAGTAGACTATTTATTAGAGAAAATTCTCAATGACATGGAGAACAAGGCATTTAACGTGGAAGTGCTCACAGAGCGGATGCATAGGACAATGCAGGTGTTAGAGGAGCGATACAGACACACGGACAAGGAAAACCCCTAAACCCTAAAACTCCTCAAGATAGCATGATACAAGGCACTCATGTACTATGGATAGCAAGACAAGATAGACGCGAAGGAAGTGCACTTAAAACTGCAAAATAAAAGTGATGGTCACTTTTCAGATACGAAACAAAAAGTGTTCTACTTTCTTACAGAAGCATCCATAAGACCAGCGGCAAAGGTACAGGCAGACCGAATGTACAGAGAGCGTAAGAGATATAACTCGAACACGGTCACCCACAGCCAAACATATAACGCTACAACCTCTGCTCACAAGCGTTACAAACCAGACAATGGCATACCAAGACAAATCAACACAACAGGACACCCTCAATAGGAGAAAGGGGCGCGCGAAGCACGTGCATGTCCCTATTATATGGTATCACCAGTGTAAGTTTCGGTCTATCAAGGCGATATTAACTCCTTAGAGTAATTAAACGCTTAGGCTAAGTCTAAGTATAGTTAAATTCGAAATAAATAAACGAAACGAGTCTTGTAGTAAAGTTAGGTATGCCTCGTGAAAACAGCAATACTCTGAGGGATTGTGAGGCTGAGACATTGCCTATATATAATCTTCTCAGTACTGTTTTCGCCGAAGGGATTTTATTTAGTGTTTAGTTGTCGCTCTATTAGAAACTATGGTATGTTTCGTTGAGGCGCATCCGAGAGACTCATAAAATCGTATCTTTAGAAGAAGAAGAAAATACTCTTGATGTCCATAGTTATTGCATTAACGAATAACTTGCCACTTATCAAGAAATTCCGACTTAGCCTTCATCAGTCTGGCGCATCTGGTTGGCTGAAAGGAGGTTAAACTAGGTAACGTTAATAGTCTCTAGAAACCTATATTCGGTTGAGCCAACTCGCCACTGAAGTATTCAGATATAAATAGATTTAGAAAGTAAATATAGTTCTCTTAATAGAACTAGACCAAATCTTATGTTTGGTATTTTACTGGGGTCTTTTAGTGGCCTTGTCCAAATATCTGATTTGTAAAATGGAAAAGGTATTAATTATCAAAACTGTTAAAACCCATTTGGGAAACTTAAGTTCCTCGTACTATTAAG